ATAGGTTTCTAGCAAGAACGTTTCTTACCTACGCCAAAACCACAACGTGATATGCCAATTGCTATTTACCCTTCATAAGGACCATTTTCATCGAATCCGATCTGACTAAAGAGGGAGAGACTAGCACCCGCTAGCCACCTTATGCAACAAGTGCATGTCAGTCGGTGGAACCTGTCTCACGTAAGTGTACGTGTAAGGTCGGTCCGGGCCGCTTCATCCCACAATACCGTCGAAACAAGATAGTACTATTAATGGTAAGCATATTGAACAAAATCAACGCCCACAACAACTTGTGTTCTACTCGTGCATAGAATCTACGCAATAGACCTAGCTCATGATGCCACTGTTGGGGAACGTAGCAGAAATTCAAAATTTTCTATGCATCACCAAGATCAATCTATGGAGATTCTAGCAACAAGAGAGGGAGAGGATGATTGCATCTTCATACCCTTGAAGATCGCGATGCGTAAGCGTTACAAGAACGCGGATGAGGGAGTCGTACTTGCGGCGATTCAAATCGCGGAAGATCCGATCTAACGCCGAACAGACGACGCCTCTGCGTTCAACACACGTACAGCCCGGGGACGTCTCCTCCTTCTTGATCCAGCAAGGGGAGAGGAGAAGTTGAGGGAGAGCTCCGGCAGCACAACGTCATGGTGGTGGAGCTTGCAGTTCTCCGGTAGGGCTTCGCCAAGCACTAGCGAGGAGGAGGTGGAGTTGGAGAGGAGGAGGGCTGCTCCAGGGGCAAGGGTGAAGCTCCCATGCGCCTCCCCACTATATATAGGGGTGGAGGGGGCTGGTTTCTTGCCCTCCAAGTCCATTGGGGCATTGGCAAAGGTGGGAGGAAAGAAATCCCATCATTTCCTTCCCCACCGATTGTTATCCCCCTTTTTAGGGATCTTGATCTTATCCCTTTGGGATATGATCTTATTCCTTCTAAGGGGGGATCTTGGTGCGCCTTGACCAGGGGTGTGGGGCCTTGCCCCCACTACCCACGTTCATGTGGTTCCCCCCATGCAGGTGGGCCCCACTCCGGAACCTTCTAGAACCTTCCCGGTACAATACCGAAAAATCCCGAACATTTTCCGGTGGCCAAAATAGGACTTCCCATATATAAATCTTTACCTCCAAACCATTCCGGAACTCCTCGTGACATCTGGGATCTCATCCGGGACTCCGAACAACATTCGGTAACTGCACACTAATTCCCATAACAACTCTAGCGTCACCAACCCTTAAGTGTGTAGACCCTACGGGTTCGGGAATTATGCAGGCATGACCGAGACATCTCTCTGGCCAATAACCAACAGCCGGATCTGGATACCCATGTTGTCTCCCACATGTTCCACGATGATCTCATCAGATGAACCATGATGTCAAGGATTCAAGCAATCTCGTATACAATTCCCTTTGTCAATCGGTACGTTACTTGCCCGAGATTCGATCGTCGGTATCCCAATACCTCGTTCAATCTCGTTACCACCAAGTCACTTTACTCGTTCCATAATGTATTATCCCATGACTAACTACTTAGTCACATTGAGCTCATTATGATGATGCATTACCGAGTGGGCCCAGAGATACCTCTCCGTCATCGGAGTGACAAATCCCAGTCTCGATTCGTGCCAACCCAACAGACACTTTCGAAGATACCTGTAGTGCACCTTTATAGCCACCCAGTTACGTTGTGACGTTTGGTACACCCAAAGCATTCCTACGGTATCCGGGAGTTGCACAATCTCATGGTCTAAGGAAATGATACTTGACATTAGAAAAGCTCTTAGCGAACGAACTACACGATCTTGTGCTATGCTTAGGATTGGGTCTTGTCCATCACATCATTCTCCTAATGATGTGATCCCGTTATCAATGACATCCAATGTCCATGGTCAGGAAACCATAACCATCTATTGATCAATGAGCTAGTCAACTAGAGGCTCACTAGGGACATGTTGTGGTCTATGTATTCACACATGTATTACGGTTTCCCGTTAATACAATTATAGGATGAACAATAGACAATTATCATGAACAAGGAAATATAATAATAACCATTTTATTATTGCCTCTAGGGCATATTCCCAACAGTGGCCGCCGGCCACCCCTCCCCCTTCCCCTTCCCCATCTCTGTTTTTTATCGGTTCCGGCATTGTTCGGCGGGTTTGCTGGCGGTCTCGGAGGTGGCTGTGGTGCAGATTGCTCAAAGCCTTGACCTTTGGTGGTTCTCGGAGCGTTCTGGATGCAGAGCGGCGGCTCTGTCGGTGGGAGGTGTGTTGGTCGTGGGCTGACCGCACGGCTCGGGTGCGGGCGGGCAGCCATGGTCGCTTGGGCAGCATGGATGCGGGTGGTTGGCGGAGTGATGTTGCGACGAAGGGGTAGGAGCAGCAGGGTTCATCACTCGCCTAGTCCCGATACTGGCCGACGGAGGCAGCGTCCGTGGATGTCGTTCTCCTTCTTGCAGGCTCCGTCGTGGTGCTCCCATTGCCTTCGTGTCATTCCGGGTGAAAACCTGATTTTCGGGATCAGTCTGTGACGGCTTCCTACAGTCGTTTTCCCTCTTGAGGGCACCGTCTTGGAGTCCTCGCTCCGGCTTTGTCCGTCTCATTACCCCTCGGTGGATTGCTCATCTTCATGGTGGTCTTCGGCTTATCATTAGGGTGCTTAGTCGTCGTTGGGGTGGTGTTTTTGGTGCTCGGCACCTTTGTATCTCGCATTGGGTGTGTGCGTTGAGTGTGGTGGTGGTGTGCGTTTGTATCTTCTTACTTGATGTTGTGATGATGGTGCTTTATATATAAAGCGGGGGAAACCTTTTTTCTTAGATCTTAGTATCTGGTGCCATAATTTACATATACAGTGTATAGACAACATAATTTCAATCTATCAGTTCAAATTTTGTGAAAATTATAGTGTAAATAGGATAATTTAGTTTCATAATTCTAACCAATGTTCCTTTTTTGCAGGGAATTCTAACCAATGTTCCCGAAATAGCATTAAATTGATAGACAATTAGTGTTAGTAGTATGAACAATTTTGAATTTTAGAGCCCATGGCACCTCTAGGTCTGCCCTGCGCGAGAGAATATGCAAGTTTTGCACTCTTAGTTCACCTTTGGGTGTGTGAAAAGTTGTTGATTCATGAATATAAAAATGTTGCTCTCTCAGTTAAAAAAACTTACTCTCTCTACTCATTTATTACCGATAGACCATCAAAAGAAATAGGTGCAAATTTTACCATCAGACATCGTAAACCATTGAAGATGCCCTAAAATATTATTAAAATTACAATCGATTTCTTAACCGCGCGTTTTTTCATTATGGTCAATGCTCATTGAGCCAAAGGCGATGTGTTCAGTGAAGGCAACGCACCGTTGATGATGCTGGTGAGGCCGATTAAACTAGAGGCAACGATGACATGAAGGAAAGGTGGATGAAGAGTCAGAACGAGGCGGCGACAGAACCGGCGGTGATGGTGATTGGGTGATGATAAGATGGCGATGTAACAAAGTGGCGGGATTGGTCACAAGAGAGGTAATAACTTGTTGGGTTGGGTAGAAAGGCGGATCTCTATAGGTTGTTGGGAGGAGGCGTCTTCTCGTTTTAGATCGGCGACAAACAAAATCAAGCGTGATTTAGTGAAAACAAATACTTTTAATTATATGTCTTGAACATATGTACATTCATTTATACAACTATTCCCAACACTAAACTAAGAGCGTAGATACAACTTATGAAGAGACCTAGAGGATATATATGTTATATTCACGGGAATGAAATGGTGCAGATCCTCCGACTTATGTCACGTGACATTGGGTTAGTGACATATGGGTCCACATGTCAATGACTACCAAGTCTCCAAACTTAGAGAATCTCAAGGCGGGAACGAAAGGAAACATCAGTTTCTTCAAGTTCATCCGTAAATAATCTATAAGGCCGTGAGAGTAACTTACCAAGTAATATAACGCACCGCAAAGCAAATTTGGTTATGTTGTTAGTAGTTAATGAAGAAAGATGTTTGTGGTACCGTAACATAACGTTTTCTAAGAGAAGATGCGTCTGCTAGCTAATAAATAAAATCATGTATAACACTATTACTATGATATTTTGCAGTATAAAGGTACTAATCGCTTAAACCAGCGTCATATGCATGACTTGTTTAATTTACTCCCCATTATGACCAGCCTAAAAAAAACATGAAGAAGTCTATGGAAATGTCTTTCTTGTAGAATCTGCAAATATCAAACGATGGTTCGACAGATGTAATCACCCATTCTGCTCTGAAATTCAAGAAATTGTAAACTTCATCGAAGCGGGGTTCACTCGACCGTGTTGCATAGGTACCTTACGGAAATAAAAACTCCGAAATTAACGGGGAAACGTCGGTTTTGGTTCAGGAGCACTTTGGTTATTGTTCTTGTTATAGTTTGAGGTTGTCTCAGACGGCACGCGTTAATCGTGGATTGAGTTGATCAGTAACCCAATCAGATAGCTCCCGACCAGATAATAGATAGAGAATGTGACCGCGCATAGGTGATCAGCCTCTCTTTGTGTCCCTGACATTTGTCCACGACCACCATATCCGTTCGCGGAGTCAGTGACCACTCCACACGTTTTCTTTTCTTTTTTTTTTCTTCTCCCAGCAGAAGGGAGGCTGGCAAGCGAAAGCAAAATGGCGCGCACGATTAATCCATGTGTCGAAACAAAAGGAGCAGCCGTGGCGTGGCTTTCTAAAGCAGTTGAAACGGCGACCGCGCTCCGCTCGGAAGCCACCCCACGTCTCCGGCCCGCCGCCGTCGCTCTCCCACGAAAATCGACCCGCAAGCAAACCCAGACCCGACAACCACCTCCTCCATACCTACCGCTATATAAATCGCGGTCGACACGCCAACAGACTGCGGGCTTCACCGATCACCAATACGTTCGGTGCAGGTGCAGCAGATTAACAATTCAGTTCGTTCGTGCGTGCGTGCTCGCTCCATGGTGAGATCGCTTCCGTCTGTTTCGATGGAGGGGAGGAGGCTGCAGGAGGAGGAGCAGGAGCAGGAGCAGCGGGAGGTGCTGCTCATCCACAGCCAGGTGCGGAGGATCAAGCGGGAGGACGAGGAGACCCGGAGGCACCTCCTCAAGCTGCAGTTGCTGGAGACGAGGCCGGCCGCCGGGCAGGAGGCCTCGCCGCCGGCCTCCCGCTCGCTGTCGCCGCTGCGGCGTGCCGGGAGCGCCATACCGGTCGGCGACTGGGCCTAGTCACCTCGCCTGCCCGGCCAGGCAGCGTATACAGTCGTATAGATATAGGAGAGCGAGCGAGCTATATATTTGAGAGCCTTAGTACGGTCGATCGATGCCTGTCCATGCTCTCTGCGTGCATGGAACCAGAGCTTATAGTTGATCGATCTAGCTGCTTTACATGCTCTGTTTCAGTCGACTTTTCTTCTTCTTGTTGTAAATATACCGAAGTTCACCTCGTGCTTCTACGTACTGCATCCAAGTTCTTCCATGCTAGTTCCTTCAGGATTGATTCGATTCTTCGTTTGATTCGGAATGGAAATCCGCAGAAAACGCCGGCAAATCGGGCATGTCATTCCCAGTCCCGGAGGACGCGCCTCAGCCAAGGCAACGGCCAGCGGATGAGATGAGAGGCACAGATCGACTGAGGTAGCCAACGTTGACTCGGAAGTAGCATAGGTCGCATCCCGGCATCCGCATGTGTATCTTCTCAGAATAAAGACGAGATACGCATCTGTCAGGCAGGGCAAATTTGATAAACTTGATCTATAGACGGAATCAAATCACAGAATGAACTATCCGTGAAACTATTTCACGCGGCTGACCTTTTTATGTGACGCTTAACATGAAGCCGTCACACTACACTGTGCAACGCCTCGCAGATAGGCGCTAAACCGCCAGCGTCGCACACGTGTGATCAGAAAATTACTAAGTCGTGTGCAGCGCCTGAGAGCTAGGCGCCACACTATACAGTGTAGCGCCTAGCTCCTAGGCATTGCACTAATGCAGCGCCCAGCTCCCAGGCGTTGCACTAGTGCAGCGCCTGAGAGCTAGGCGCCACGGGTCAGCCGCGTGAAATAGTTTTACGGATAGTTCATTCTGTGATTTGATTTCGTTCATAGGTCAAATTTATCAATTTTGCCGTCAGGCAGGATAGGCTATTCTGTGCACGTGGTTGAAGGCCGGAGCGTAGCGTAGACACGCAGGAGGAGCACTCGAAGCAACAGCGGCGCTGCAGCAATAATTCAACCCAGTTTCCAGTTTCCATAGATTTTTCCAACCATTTTTCACAGAAAATACAGTAGCCTTTTTTTTTTACTATCCTGCGTTGGTGATACGGCGTGCAGCCAGGAGAAGCATCCACCGGCTTCGCCTCCACGTCGCGGCAGCGAGCGGGCTGGCGTGTCCACGTCCAAGTCCAAGACAATAATCGAGGGAGGCACTTGCACGACGTCTGACGTCTGACGATTCACCATTAGTTAGGTTTTGCATCATCGTTCGTCGGTCGGATCCGTCGCAGCATCGCAGAAAGTAGGATGCACGGCTGCGTCCGATCCAACGAACCGGACCTCCAAGATTGAGAGGGCGGCGGGGGCCATCCACTGTCAACGTCCCACCGAACGTGCGGAGTGTATTGCGTGACGGATTGAGTGAACCTGGAACCGCTGCTTGGCGGCCGGTCACCGGCGAGACAAATCTAGCGGTGACGGCCATGGTGAAGCGGCGGGGATGTTCCGAACCATCGACCGCGGTCAGCCGGGTCTTTCCATCGTGCTTCCATTGAGGCCTTTTCGTAAGGTGAACGGCTGAATGCAATGGGCCTTGGCTTGCGATGCAAAACAGAATTTGGACGGTCAACATGCTCGAACGCCGTGGTTGGACCAAATGCGGTCTTTGCCCTCTATGTAAAGCACAACACGGGGATCCTCAAAATCAAAACTCCCATCAACGCCACTGCCGAGCACATCACGCAGTTCTTCACTCTTTGGATGCTTCTTAGTGAGGTCCACCTTAACGAGCTCACTGAGGATGAAATCATTTGAAAGCATACGAGCAATGGACAGTACTCGGCGACTTTCGCATACATGACACAATTCCTAGGGATGGTCATGTCGCCCATGGATAGAATGGTTTGGAAGGTTTGGGCACCTCCAAAAGTTAAATTCTTTACTTGGCTAGCTCTTCAAGATGGAATCTGGACGGCGGATAGATTGGCAAAGTGAGGATGGCCAAATTGTGATGTTTGCCCCCTCTACAAGAGGGTGCAAGAGTGCGTACCCCATCTCTTCTACAAGTGCAGCTACACTCGGCGCCTTTGGTCTTTGGTCATTGAAAAATTCCCCATGCTCGGGCTCGACACTTTCGTTTGACCCTTGTTTGACACGGTTAAAGATTGGTAGGCATGCACTTGCGTTGATGGAACACCAAATCATCAAGCCAAAGACTCCATCACCATGCTCGTATCTTGGACAGACTGGAATGAGCGGAACGCAAGGGTTTTTAAGCATAAGAGTACCCCAACGCCAATCTTGCTTTCGTCCATCTCCACCGAGGCAAACCTTTGAGTCATTGCCGGAGCAAAGAAATTAGGGTATTTTATTGCGCGCGAGTAATCCACATGTCGTGTATTTCGGTGGCTTGTAACAAACTCTACTTTCTCTTATTTAATGGACGAGGCAAAGCTTTTGCCTCCGTTTAAAAAAAACAAAAAATCATCCACGCATCCTCTGCCACTATCGCTTCTCTGTAAGGGTGTGATACGACTGAAGGAAATATGCCCTAGAGGCAATAATAAGTTTTTTTATATTTTTTATTCATGATAAAGGTTTATTATTCATGCTAGAATTGTATTGATCGGAAACTTAAATACATGTGTGAATACATAAACAAATACCGTGTCCCTAGTAAGCCTCTACTAGACTAGCTCGTTGATCAAAGATGGTTAAGGTTTCCTAACCATAGACATGCGTTGTCATTTGATAACGGGATCACATCATTAGGAGAATGATGTGATGGACAATACCCATTTGTTAGCTTAGCATATTGATCGTTCAGTTTATTGCTATTGCTTTCTTGATGACAAATATATATTCCTTCGACTATGAGATTATGCAACTCCTAGATACCGGAGGAATACCTTGTGTGCTATCAAACGTCACAACGTAACTGGGGGAGATTAAAGATGCTCTGAGGGTATCTTCGAAGGTGTTTGTTGAGTTGGCATAGATCGAGATTTGGATTTGTCACTCCGAGTATCGGAGAGGTATCTCTGGGCCCGCTCGGTAATACGCGTCATAAGAAGCCTTGCAAGCAAAGTGACTAAGGAGTTAGTTGCAAGATGATGTATTACGGAACGAGTAAAGAGCCTTGCTGGTAACGACATTGAACTAGGTATGAAGATAGCGACGATCGAATCTCGGGCAAGTAACATACCGATAGACAAAGGGAATTAGGTATGTTGTCATAAGGTTCGACCGATAAAGATTTTCATAGAATATGTAGGAGCCAATATGGACATCCAGGTTCCGCTATTGGTTATTGACCGAAGAGGTGTCTTGGTCATGTCTACATAGTTCTCGAACCCGTAGGGTCCGCACGCTTAACGTTCGTTGACGATATAGTGTTATATGAGTTATATGATTTGGTGACCGAATGTTGTTCGGAGTCCTGGATGAGATCACGGATATGACGAGGAGTCTCGAAATGGTCGAGAGGTAAAGATTGATATATATGACAATGGTATTCGGACATCGAAAGAGTTTCGGAGTGCACCGGGTAGTCATCGGGTCGCCGGAAGGGGTTTCAGAAACCCCCGATAAGTGTATGGGCCTAATGAGCCAAAGAAGGGGACATAGCAGCCCACTAGGGGCTGGCGCGCCCCTCTCCTTCGCAGGCCATCCCTAGGGGAAGGAAAGAGGAGGGTGCCCCCTCCCGCCTTTCCCTCCTCGTGAGAGAAAGGAAAGGGGGGGCTCCTCCTCATGCCTTCCTCCCGCACTCAAATAAGGAAGGGAGGTGCGGCTTGGGGAAGACCCCAAGTAGGATTTGACCCTACTTGGGGCGCCCCTTGGCCTCTCCCCTCTCCCCCTACCTATATATATGTGGGAGGGGGGCGCACACATAACCACGATAATTGTTTAGCCGTGTGCGGCGTCCCCCTCCACCGTTTACACCCTCGATCATATTTTTGTAGTGCTTAGGCGAAGCCCTGTGGAGATAGCATCAACATCACCTTCACCATGCTGTCGTGTTGCTGGAACTCATCCACTATCTCGCCGTCTTGCTGGATCAAGAAGGTGTGGACGTCACCGAGTTGAACATGTGTTGAACGCGGAGGTGTCATACGTTTGATACTGGATTAGTTGGATCGCGAAGAAGTTTGACTGCATCAACCGCATTACTAAATGCTTCCGCTTATGGCCTGCGAGGGTACGTAGACAAACTCCCCCCTCGTTGCTATGCATCTCCATGGATATATGTTGCGTGTGCATAGAATTTTTTTGGTTTTCATGAAACGTTTCCCAACAGTGGCATCCGAGCCAGGTCTATGCGTAGATGATATGCATGAGTAGAACACAAAGAGTTGTGGGCGGTGATAGTCATACTGCTTACCACCAATGTCTTATTTTGATTCGGCGCTATTGTGGGATGAAGCAGCCCGGACCAACCTTACATGTCCACGTACATGAGACCGGTTCCATCGACAGATGCAACCAGTTTTGCATAAAGGTGGCTGGCGGGTGTCTGTTTCTCCTAATTTAGTTGAATTGAATTTTACTACGGCCGGTCCTTGAAGAAGGTTAAAACAACAAAACTTGATGAATCAGCGTTGTAGTTTTTGCGTAGGTAAGAACGGTTCTTGCTAGAAGCCCATAGCAGCCACGTAAAACTTGCAACAACAAAGTAGAGGAAGTCCAACTTGTTCTTGCAGGGCATGTTGTGATGTTATATGGTCAAGACGTGATGTAATATATGTTGATGTATGAGATGATCATGCTTTGTAATATCGACAACCGGCAGGGGGCTTAGGGTTGTCTCTTTATTGTATGAAGTGCAAATGCCATGTAATTTCTTTATTTATCGCTATGCGTTAGAAATAGTTGTAGAAGCAATAGTTGGCGAGATGACCCCGATGCAAAGATGGAGATCAAGGTGTCGAGCCGGTGACAATGGAGATCATGACGATGCTTTGGAGATGGAGATCAAAAGCACAAGATGATGATGGCCATATCATGTCACATATT